GCGTTGCAACGTGACGTAACGTTGCGAACCGAAAACGTCCGTTGAGACAACGCACACCGTCCCGCGACAACCGCGGAGTTCAACAGACGCGACTTTCTTTCCCTCGCATCGCCGCGGAGTGTCGCGTTCCGTGCTTGATCTACTTACGCTACTACAATTACACAAAAAGAAAACCCTATGCTCGAGTAAAACGTAACGTACCGAATCAACGATAAAGAGTCGAGTTAATGTAACTCACTTTGTGACAACACGCAAACGATTCGAACCACTAGCTTACTCGAATAGAACAAAGGAGGATATAATTAAGTGTGTATACTGACGGGATTCCCTATTTTTACAAATACGTTGTGCTAAATGACTATTGGTAATTCTGCTTTAAAGTGATAAGGTAGAAAGGTGTAAGTCTAAAGCCATTTTCCTTTCGTCCTTTCTCTGTCGCAAGAAACGGTCTTCCGCGTTTGAAAATTCAATCTCAAGTTCCAGCTGTGCGAGAACACAGAAATAAGTACTACCGATGGTCGATACACGAATAGAACTAGGAAACGTATAAAGTAGGTACAGATTCTTTGTGATTTTTATCGAACACAGAAATATTAGTCTTAGATGTCTATTCGTGGTCTATATTGTAGCCTTAGAGGTGGGTCCCGGAACCTCCATCTCGTCACGTAAACGAATTTTAATGTATGGTCCTTACCTAACAGTTCATCATTGCACAAAATATCAATCTGTAATAGGAATATTGATAGATTTAGTGGAACCTGTTAAAAGAGAATCTTATTAATCTGCTTACTTACATCCCGATATTTATCCATCCCGTTAAGAACTTTCTTGGCAATAAACTTTTTCAAATGTGTAATAGTTGCTTGGGCAGAACACCTGATGAATCTTCGTTTTAGTGTCTTTAAACTTGTATTTATACATTCCAAACAAACATTGACCTGAATCAGCATAGATTAATTAGTACATTAAGAACTCTATAAGAGTATTGAAAAATCCCTCGATCATACCTGTTCATCTGCACGATGATAGTCTGATTCTGCATGTGCGTCTGTGGTTGCTTTCTCTTCTTCTACATCTGCAGCATTGGGTAGCACATCTTTCGGACAGGGTAAACCCCTTGCTCTATAAAATTCCCTTTCCCTTTTAATTTCATCTGAAATGGAGTACGTTTGATTAAATATCTATATCTCAGAGCATCCTCTTTAATGTCACGATTACTAACTCTCTTGAAGGTCAGGAACTAATTTGTAGACGATGTCTTGCATAGTTCTGTCGAAGCTTATGTACTGAAGTGGATGCGACTGATGTATCACTATTTGGCATGCCGGACAAGTGTGCTTCTCCTCTAAATGTTTTACCAAGCAACTTTTGCAAAACGTGTGTAAACACTCTGTGACAGTGGTGGCATCTATCAAGTAGCCCCTGCATATCTTGCATGTTATGTGACTGTTCAATGTTTTCAATTTGATTCTCCTCTCCATGGCACTGATAATCACCATTTAATAACTGTCGCTACCTAGATTCATTCGTAAAACGTTAACTGCATTACAATACCACTGGATTACTTGAAAATAATCGTGTTTCATGGCACAGAGTACGTTCAACAGTTCACAATGTTATTATTTGGAGAGACTCTGCCGAGAATTTTGATAAAAGTGATAAGATGGAGCAGTGTCCCATCAAACTGTGAAAGCCCTATAATCGTTAAATTCCACGAGACTCCTCGCGTTGCCAAGTGATCTGGCGCGATCTCTAGTGCTCGAAGGATAAAATCGAATTTATACAGCAACGATTGACAGATGGAAAAGACTACGGGGCTCCAGAAAAAGTGGGTTATCGGATCCTAACCTGAAATGTCGTGAGTAGCCAGCAACGGCAACTGTCACTCGTGCTATTCGTTTGGAAATTTTTTGTGAACGGTCCGCATCATCCTTCTCATCTTCTGTGACTGAATCGGGGCTAAATGGAGGAATAGGAAATTAAAGGTACCACTAAAAACCTGGTAAAAACAACTTAGTGTAAATGTGGCTGATGACAACAAAACGAACTGATCCGAGCGCCATCGGTCTTTGGTTAGTCAACTTTTCTCTGGACACGCGGTTCGGTCGAATGGTGGGGGTTTGATGTCCTTCTTCGATCAATCACATTTGGAATAAAGGTTTATTTGATCGTTTATATTCATTAAGCATGTTGCGTATCTTGTACAGCGCAGGGTGTAATTTACTTCACTCGTGTTCAGAGTTGTTAGAACGACGCTCGATAATTAAAATGCCGTGTAACTGAATATTCATGTAAATACTGTTATCGCGATGTTACCTTCGCGCAATAAACGACCGGTTATAAATAACCGAGTTATTATTAGAATTAATATTCTGATAACGTTCAAGGGAAGATTCCAATTTTATACGAAATTTTCAGGTTAAGCTCGGCAGGACCGAGATGCGATTGTGAATGAGTAGATCCGATGTTTCGAATTCAAATTAATATAACGGTCAACGAGAATTTCGAATCTTAACGGTCAAATTTAAAATTCCAGTTTTACACTGAATTTTAGAGTTAAGCTCGGAAGGACCGAGATGCGATTGTGAATGAATAGATCCAATATTTCGAATTCAAATTAATATAACGGTCAAAGAGAATTTTGAATGTCAACGGTCAAATTCAAACTGAAATCTTAACGGTTAAACTCAAATTGAAATTCCTGCAGCGAAGTTCAGATTCAAAAGTCAGTCGACGAGTTCAAGTTACCATGGTGATCGTCGGGGTTTATTTAAAACACGGGAATCTGAAATAAATCGAGCGAATTCCGGTCACCGAGTCTCGAATTCCAAACAGCGTGTGATACAGTTCGAATCATTTTATTCGAGATGAAACTCACATTACAATAATAATCCAATATTTACGCAGAAACTATACATATACATATCTACCTTGGTAAATGCTGGTTTACTGGCTACCATTAGATGCTGGGTAACAAAAAGAGTAGCTTTTAAATAAACATGTCGGTGCTATATACAAAAAAAAGGGAGAGAGAGAGAGAGAGAGATAGAGAAAAAAACGTTTCACCGGCCGTCGCTTTTTTTTCGCCCGATCGTTTATAAACGTATTTTACAATGAACCACCGCTTCGAATACAAAAAGAAATAAAGAAGGCCTTCTTCTAACGTCCTAAGTAACAATATACAAGGAAATAAATTATCTACCGCTAAGCACCTGTCTCGCATGCACCATTTATACAACCGATTGCGCGGCCGCAACACGGCGTGGACGATGTGAACCGATGATTCTCTCGTTCGCGTGCAAAATGTGTTTCTCGTACAAAATTATACAATAATAACGATCAACTCAGTCCCCTCTTCGATTAAACTGTACATACACGTCGCTCGCGTCGCGTCGCCAACGAACCGATTCCAACAAGAGAAATATATACATATATCCATCAACACGTCGGCCCGTTGACGCGTCAACGATCACCGCTGTTTGTCCCCGTCCCCTCCGCTTAAGGTCCAACACGTTTCGTTTTCTTTCTACAAGAAGGGAAAAGGAAGAAAGGCGGAGAAGACAGGGCGTATAAGTCTATGTATAAAAGCGAAACGCACGCGGTCCGCTGCGAAACTCGCGGTTCGTCGTCCGCTAAAAGTTCGCTATCTTACAGTGAAACGTTACAATGTTTCATCGATTGACTAGTTACAAACACGTTTCCTCCTTTTTCCGTATTACTGTCCCAAGAACCGCGAGAATCCTCGTCGCGTCCTCTACTCTCCGTTCATTTCCGCCTCGTATCTTTTCAATTTCTCTTTACAAAAGCCCTGGAACTTCTAGCGTCCGCCATCTTTACCAAGGCACTTATCAATGGCACGGTACAACATATGTAAAATCGAACGACTTTCGTTCAACGAGCCTCCCCTCCGCGTCGCGTTCGCCGTCGATTGAATCGCGGTTCGGCGCCGCCGGTCACCGGTGACCGGCGAACCCGCACGGGAGGAGACCCTTCGCGTCGTTCGCTCGTGATCCGCGAAACCTGAGAATCGTAGAAAAAATATGTGGAAACGTGCGCGTTCCAATACTGTGACCGTCATCGTCGGCGACGGGTCTAGGCTCGTTCCGGAAGCCGAGCGGCTCCCCGGGGGTGTAAAACGGTACGGGATAATAAATACACAGCGTTCTCGTTAAGAAAATCAGTCTCCTCGAAGGCCGGAGTTTGCTTCTCGAATTGACAACTAGTTATTGCTTCCTCCTCTCACGTGTCCCTTAAACTCTACAGAATACGCGCTAACAGGTCAATACTGATTTCGATTATTTGGCGTGTCCGCTGGATCGGCCGGTCACGGTCCAGCGTTCCCTTCGTTTTCCCTTCGTCGTCATCCTCTTTTCGTTCTTCTCGTCCTTCGTCCATCCTCCCGGATGATTGTTTTCCTCGATGATGCCCGCGGCTAGTCCGGGCTAGGTTCAGAGCAAGTACGGGAATTTCTCTTCGCCGTCGTCGTCCTCGCCTTCGCTGGACTCTTGGCTGGACGGTGGGGTGTCTAGTTGAGGAAGTCCGAGATCCAGGTATTCCTGAAACCGAAAGAATCGATGGTTAGTTGACGTAGCTCGAGGTAGTTCGTAAACAACAGCTAATTTCAAGTGTGGGTTGATCTAGATTCGAAAGATTCATTTCTAAGTCGAAGTATTTGATTCGAACGATGAAGTTCTTATACCCCTAATTGAAACCTAGCCTGAACGGTGATCAGTTTGTTAGATCTCGAAGGACTGTTTACCTCGTTCGCAGTTATCGTTAATATCCTATCGAGGTCTTCGACCAGTTCCCCGAACATCGGCCTCTCGTTAGGCTGATAGCTCCAGCAGTCCCTCATCAGCATGTATCTGTAATTCAGACGAGCGGGGTAGGCTAGTAATTCCAGTTTTCCGAAGTAGCATGAAAGCAGATATAGAGTTGAATATGCTTACATTTCAATGGAACAACACGGTGGCTTCTCCATTCGATGACCAGTTCTCAGTAAGTGGAACAATTTTTCTACTGACGGTACGGATGGATAGGGGGTGCCTCCTAGCGTCATGATTTCCCACAACAGAATTCCGTACGACCATCTGCAGAATAAAGCAACGCAACCCTTTAGCAATGTACCTACTTCGAATTCAAGAGTCTTCAGCTTCTTCGTGCAAAATGTATTTCTGCAGTATCAAGTTGACATTGAACATATTCTTCTTTTAAATTTGATACTGTTGCTCCCTAAGGACCAACGTACCCTAACTGAACAGTTCATCGTCTTGGATCTACTTGGTAATCGAAGTGAATACTTACACGTCGGACTGAGTGGTGTAGACTCGGTGGAACAGCGCTTCAGGCGCCATCCATTTAACGGGCAGCCGTCCGTCCGTGGTTTTCCTATAATAGTCGTGGCAATGGATGTCTCTGGCAAGACCGAAGTCAGCGATTTTCAGGACGTACTCGTCGCTGACGAGGACATTCCTGGCGGCCAGGTCTCTGTGAATGCACCTCCGGCTCGCCAGGTACTCCATACCCCTGGCCACCTGGTACGCGAAGGAGACCAGGTCCTTCTGCGTCAGCGTCTTCTTCTCCTTGGCCTCTTGACCGATCGTCGGCTCGTATCCCGAGGACGGTCTGTGATCCCGAAGGAAATCACGGAGATTCCCATGAGGGGCGAACTCTACTACCACGTACAGTGGCCCGCCTTGCGTGCAGGCGCCCAGTAAATTGATGATGTTCACGTGTTTGCCGATCATCTTCATCATCTCCATCTCGGAGACCAAGTCCATCATCTCTGCGTCCGTGTGTCCCTCTGCAATAGATTCGTTCGTAATCAAATCGTTATTGATTATCTTCAAAGATTTCTGACGTATCTTCCAATCTGATATGCTTGAAGATGTCTAGACACATTTCAAGCCATTCGACTTGCTTGACTTTTTGCACGTATTTTTGCAAGTATTTCATTAGAAATATCGTTTTCTGATGAGAGACGATAATTCTTGAAACTAACTTGAAGAGAGATCACAAATTGAGGAACGAAGCTATTTGATTTCAATACTTTACACATTGAACCTTACAATCTTACTGTACCAAATAAAGTGGTGCTAAGGGTTGAACACGGAGTATCAAGAAAATCGTACCTTTCAACATCTTCACCGCCACGACACCCGGTATCCCAGGTTTCCCAGTGTTAGTCTGCGCCCTGATAACTTTGCCGAAGGCTCCCTCGCCAAGGGTGTTGCCCAGTGACAAGTGTTCCCTGGGCAGCTCCCAGGCGCTGTCCACGGGGAGCTCGTACTCCGATATGCTACCCCCGTTGCTGTCCTCCGCGGCGACCGTCGATTTCTGCTTCTCGATCTTCACCACTGGCATCAGCAACGGTTCCTGGACGTTCTGCGCGTTCACCAGGTTCTGCTTCTCGACGATCACCTTCTTGGTCCACTGGGTAACCACCGCAGCCCTCGCGGTCTCGATTGCCAGCAGTTTCTTCATTTTCTCACGCTTCAGGCGGTGGAATATGTAAATCACTACTACGACGCCCACCGCGAAGAAGATGAACAGCACCGCGGCGAGGATGTTCACGAGGATCTGTGGTTTCGGTGGAATAGGGACTCGGTGGTCTTCCAGAGCTGGAAGAATACGGTCCGCGTTAGTGATTGCTGCTAGGGGATAAGGCGATACACTTGAGAAATGTACACTTTAAACATTTTCCTCCGAAGTTTTGCTAACTTATAATTTAGACGATTGAGAAAAATTTTTGCTACCATTACGTTGAATTAGACGAGTATCGCAGTATTATTGTCAGTGTCCATGGCATTTATTGATACTCACATTCAACTACTCGAAGATAAGCGCTGCTGAACGTTTCGCCTAATGTGTTCTGAGCGATACACGTGTACCAGCCCTCGTCCTTCTCTGTCACGTTGTAGAGCTTCAGTACTTCAGGATTGTCCGCGTATGTCTCAGCCTGAAGTGAAAAAGGTCGGAATCAAGATTTTGATTCGATTGGAGGAGGAAGAATCGAATGCATTAGAATGCCACAGTTAGAGTGCTAAGCGAAAGAACATTTATCAGTCTATATAGGAAACATCGCTCGATTAATTGATTCTGTTTCATCGAATCTCAAGATTTCGACAACTAGATGTGTCCGACGAGTGTTCGACAATGTTCGGAAGATGTCGGAGAATGTTTGAAGAGCTTATCTTTCGGCTTATCAGTGAGGATCGAAACAGAATCAATCAGAAGATCGTTGTAACTATCGGAAGACAAGTATTTAATCCACAACAAAGGATGCATAGGCGTAGAGACTTTCAGAAGCGACAGCGAGAATATCATGCAAATAGTTCTACGTGCCCACCTTGACCTCCACCCGAAAACTTTGATTGGTTTTGTTGAGAGTGTCCAAAGAAGTGTGAAAACCGTGATACCATTCCAGGTGACGGTGAGCGTCGGAGAGGATCTCGCAAGTCATCGTCACGTTGCTCCCGATCAGCACGGTCGTGTTTCTCGGCGCCCTGGTCAGTATCGGCCGGTGTTTCACGCTCTCTATAGGAAAAAATAGACCCAACCACCGTTTTTACCAAAGCTCGAGAATCGTAACGAGAGAGAGAAAGTCGAAGAAAGTATCCCCTCGAGATCGAGTTCATTCGTTCGCTGAAAACACATTATTCGACTCTTGTGTGCTGTTCAAGACCTTCAAAGACTATCAGAATTCAATTAAAGTGCAAACAGCATTAACAGGTTCTTCGTTTGAAATTTTGAAATTGTAATACAACTATCAGCAACCAGAACACAAGAGTCACGTGAATCCGACGTCGAGGGACATCTAAGATCATAAGAGACCTACACCTCAGAGGATTACCAAACGAACTGTGAAACGAGTATTACTGAAACATGAAAATACAAGATCGACATAATTTAGTCACACGGTCGTCGGGAATCCGCCAAACGCCACCTGAAAATATTATTGTACAAAAGATCGTTCGGCTCCTCCACCATCATGGTTAGTCACTAAAGTCGCCTAACAGTGTAACAGAGAAGTTGTGTGTTGTCTGATATCAAGTGTGTCTGTTTGGTGAGAGAACCTCCACCGAGTTGGCAAGCCGTACACTCGCGTGTACCTGCAGCAAAATCCCGTTTGGTGAATTCTCCTGGTCGCCCGGGTACTTGTCCACCCGCACCCACTGTATGAAAGGCTCTAGATCGGAGACGATCGGACACTTGAACGTCACCGTGCTGTTCACCACCGCCGTCACGTTCTTCGGGAAATCCTCGTTGATGTACGGCTTGTGCGGAAAACGCTCTACAGATTCGATCGACTGTTAGGCTAGTCTTTTGGCTAGTCTCTAGGCTAGTCTTTAAGCTAGTCATTAAGCTAGTTTTCGAACTACTCTTTAGACTAGTCTGTTGGCAAGTCTCTAGGCGAATCTTTAAACTAGTCCCGAGGTTAACGTTTAGACTAATCTTTAGACTAGTCTTTTGGCTAGAGTCTAGGCCAATCTTTAAGCTAGTCCCCAGGTTAATATCTAGACTAATCTTCAGACTAGTCTCTAGGCTAGCGAACTAGCTGATCTACATTGACCCGGTAGATGTCACATACTTATTTGCTAAATTATTCACGTGGCGTAATATTAAAGACAATATCTTAATCGCTACCATGAAAAGTCTCAGCACTAATGCTGCGCCGATGTATCGGTCATACCCTAACGAAAGATGATCTTACTCACCGACAATCTCAACTTTGAACGTCCAGTTGATGCATCCGAGGCTGTTGCACACCACGCAGGTGTAATTCCCGCTGTCCTCGGGCACTAGGTCCTCCAGCCTGAATGTCCACTTTGTGATCACCACGGTGCCCAAAGTTCGCTTGGGTTCCTCGTTGTTCTTGTACCACGTGATGTTCGGCCTGGGGTTACCGAAACTCGGACACCTCAGGCGAAGCATGTTGCCGGCTGGTTTCACCACCACGTACGGCATCTCCACGTTCTTGTTGAACGACGGTGGTCGTTCGGGCACAGTGTTGTTGTGCTCGCCAGCGGTTTCGTTCTCGCTCTTCTCGTTCTCCAGGTCACTATCGACCGTGTCGCTACTCTGGTGCAGCGACCGGGTCTCTGGTAGATCTGAAAGGATTCGGAGACGAGAAATTAAACCTTCGATCCTCTCTTAACGGATTTATCTAAAAAAGAAGTAGAAAGCTTAGAGGAAAAGAGGAAGAACCGAATTACTCCGACCGATTCGATGTTCGAATTAGTATCATCTATTCTGGGTGGTCCAAGATTACGGTGAATTTCAAGCAACATAATTGAAAGAGTCGTCGATTTAATGGCTCTCGAGGTATAATCATCGAGTCGGTTGATCGCTAGTGAATTATAGGTGAACTTCGAGTTCTTGCTGCGGGAACTCGAAGATCCAACTGAGAATTGTACACGCGTTAATTCAGAACCAACATTCGACTAAACCGTAAGAGAACTTTAAATAGATTGACTCGGTATAATAAATGCACGAGGTTGTTAATCTAGTAGCTTAAACGACGCAATCTGCAAACCAGTAAATCTTGACTTAAAGCTCTACATAAATTATTACGTGTCTTCTGTTAAATTGCAGCTCGATTTGGTTAATCGAGGATGTTAGGGACGGGATTAAGTAACAGCGATAAGATCGATAAAAGATAGTAGCTAACTTCTCGCTTCGATTTCCAACTCGTTCGTTTCCTCCTCGGCTCGATGGGCACCCATGGCGGTGCCCAGTTTGTCGACATCGTGCTGGTAGCCGTCGTTCTGCAACGGCTCGATTCGTATCGTCACATTTCGCCATTCAAGCGTCCCGTTCGATTCAACCAGACAGGCGTACGAGCTCGCGTCTTCTGGTTCGATATACTTGAATCTCAAGGACTGCTTCATCAGACGCACTCTCGGCGACGTCGCGTAGAATATTTTGTTATCCTTGTACCAGGTCGTTTCCCCGCTGATCGTACACCGCAGGACCAGCTTCTCGCCGGGCGGCACCGACACCACGTCGGGATGCTTCTGATCTGAAACGAGGAATCACCGTTTTTAGCAACCGGCCAGCTGACATTTGGGTCCGACTGCGTCTTCCGAATATCGAGTTTGCCAACGATTGTTTCGGTACTTCCAACGCTAGGTTTACGTCAATCTGGCACATTCGATTTTATCAACGTTATTTGGTAAACGCTTTCATCGCTGACTTCGATCGTTGCAATTGCAAGGATACGTGTCGTAATTGTCTATCTTCGAATCTTTGGTTTCTAGTTTCGGTGGAGGAATATGAACCTTTCTAGGAACGATAGGATATAGTGTACAATAAATGTAAATCTAGAGTTAATAACGAAGTGATGGTTGACGGTTAAAAAGGGAAGACACAGGTAATTCTTCAACGTCTTTATTGAGAAAGTATTCAGTCGGAAATGAAGTCATAAACATGGCAATCACAGTGGAAGCGATCAAATTTCATGGGAAACAAGTGATTTAGAGTGAAGTTTTAATAGCTCCTGAAGTATCGAAATTGCTTTTACACGACGAGTTAGTGATAGTGACATGCGAAATAAAACGAAATGCTCCCTTTCCAAGATGATGGAACTTGGAAGGTTGTCAGATGGCATAAAAATGGGAAGGACTGTGAAGCAGGCTTCATAAACCCATCATCATACTTCGCGAAATCGTCTCGAAGAAGATGATCCTCGAATGAATAGGCGCCAGTCATGCAAGAAACGAAGTTCGAACCCACTGGATGCCAGAGTTTACGCATACGCCCAATTATTCCGAACGACGGGGAAAAAGAAACGAAAATCCCGACCGGCCGGCCGGCCGGCCGTAGGAACTTAACGACTGTATCTGACATTACGAAGATAAATTGAAGTGGCCGCCGCTTGGCAAACGTTCGCCTCTTCTAATTCGATTCTTCCGCGAACCGTTGTTGCGATACAGCCTGAAATCCCCGCAAAGAAAACGTACGCCGCTCGACTCGACGTTTCAACGTCGAACTAAAGAAACATCGCAAATCACTGTGAAAAACCAGGTTTATCGCGCTTTTTCTGGAAGACCTTGGCTACGTCGGGCACCTTAGAATTAGAGGTCAAACCTCTTATAACAAACTTCCGCCATTACCCTCGGAATCCTGCAATAATTCATTAAACCGTTCATTTTATTAAATTCCTTCATAACATCATCCTAATATCCTCGATACATCATTTCTAGAAACATTCACTTTTAACTGCAGAAAAATTCTCGTAAATAACCGACACGCTTACAACTGTTAATTACACATAATTCTTGATGATCAACGAAGCTCCATTTCATTTAACACGTTCATCGCCACGAGAATATTGAAAGACAAAGGCAATTGGAATTGGCCATTAACGGCTTGGTATCATAGTTCTCCAGTTACTATAGTTACTTGTGTTATTAAATATTTTCATTCAACATCAGTTCCCTTTGTGTAATTGTCTTCAAGCTTCTCGGAAGCTCCAGTCATTGGTGACCACCGTCAACGTGTTAAATTCCACCCAAGAAAGAGTGACTCCATGTGGACGACCAGTGCTATGGGCCAGAATTCACCGAAATATCGTCGCGCGGTGCGTTTAAAACTTGACCCTGACGATCGAGACGACGAGAAGGGTGCCTCGACGCGGAGAGACGCGTGTCCCGTCGCCGTCGACGAAAATCGAGCTCGCCTGACCATGGGAACTCATTTTCCGCGCGGCCCATTCATGAATTCGGCATCGAGGTGTCGCCGTTTGGCCGGCGGCCAAACGCGAATCGCGACACTGTCCCTTCCGACGTTCCACATGGAACCGTCCCCGTCCCGTTCCCCGTCGTTCCGACGTCGATTCGCGTCTTCCTCGTCGTCAGAACTCGCCGGACTAAATTTAGAAGGCTGTCGAGGGTGTCTTCTCTTCTCGTTCTCTCGCCGCGACTGGCGGTTGGTAGGCCTGCCCGAGGCACGCTCGCGTTTCGTTCGACGGACGGAGTAATGAACCGATGACGATAAACGGTTGGCAGAGGGAAAATAGGATAATTGAACGGGAGAGCCGAATGTCTAGGAGAAAGACGCGTCGCGTTGTCTTTTGCGAAATGTTTCTGGGAAGATTTGAGAACGATTTTTGTAGGAATGTTCTTGCCGACACACTGTCAGTAATAATATTGTACAGTGCAATTGCAAGCATAATGCAGTTTGTGAATGTATAAGTTATTAACTGACGATGATAAGGATAATTAGATTACGAATGTTTGCGCGAGTTTGAAGTTTTAAGGAAAAATGGAGATAAGACGGAACATTGTTTTTCTTAAGGAATAAGGATGATTGATGAGTGGCAAGGAATATTATTCGTAGAAATATTGGATAATATTCTTGTCTCGAGAGAATGATGTCAAGAGGATGACAGAGTGTCCGAAAACGAAAGGAATGGCTCGAATTCGAATTCGAGTCCCGCGTAAACAGGTAGCGGTCTTTGATCCCGTTCGACAAAGAGAAAACAGAAGGAAAGTCGACCCACCGCGGAGAACAGCAGCGACGGTGAAAAGGTGAGCCGAAGACACGAGTAAATAAACGACCCGGTCGCGTTGTCAAACGAGGGAGAGACTCGGCCGCCATTAGCTAATGGCCGACGCTCCCCCGAAGCGAGCGTTACGTATTCGCCTTCGCAAACGAACAATCAGAAAATATCTACAAAACGTCTTCTAACATCCAATTTTTCAGAATACCTCCACCACCAATCCGTTTTGAAAAATTTCATTTTGCAACTCTGTAGACGTGAAAGACGTATTTTTTCCTTAAACTTGCCGCAGTGAGGCTAACTGGCCGTTTTCTGGACAAAACTCAATAACTGAAAAAGTGCGAATGATACGAAAAGAATGCTTCAGACAAAAGTTGTAGGGTATAGCGTTAAACATACGGTGGTTATATTTTTCTTACATCATTTGAAGTTTTATCGATGACAATGGATATTTTGCGTTTCGATTCGAACGTTATACAAATAGAGAAACGGAGTTTATTTATAGAAAATTCGTATTTTTTGAATGAAAATCGTTTTGTATAGCTGACTTAGCAACGCATTGGTAACCTTCGATTTCCGTTGTGCGAATAGTCGATTTTCGAGGTTTTGTACAGACGGCCGCACTGTGCGGCGTCGCGATCATATGATTCAACCAGCGTTGCTTCTCCAAGAAGCACGTGACGCGCGCCGCGTGTCCGAAAAAAGAAGCGTGAACGGAACTCGCCCGGCGAAAGACAATAAACTCGATCGACTTCCGTCGGGAGAGCCACTCCGGGACAATCGGTCATTTGTACGGCTGGCTAAGGATGTTTAAAAGACCGGATTAAGAGAGAAGAGATCCGGGGAAGGCCGGGATGGAAATTAAAGACACCGAGAAACACGGAGACCTCCAGGAAATCGTGGGCGACGCGGAATTCGCTCGCTCGCTCGCTCGCTTGCTCCGATTGGATGATAAACACGCGCTCGTCACGGCGTGATAATTACGCGAAACGTCGCGTCCGCGATGCCAACGATATGGAAATGAAAGTTACACGCTGCGTGGACTGTTTTTTCAACGCTTCAGCTCCAAACATTGTGGTAGTTCTTGTATTATGAAAGAAATATAAATCATAGAAGGTAGAATAATAAAATCATAGGAAACCGGAAGGAAAGTTTAGAGAACGAAGTTTTCGATCGAATATTTAATTATGAATATCCAATGTAAGTTTCATCTACGAGACTTCTGTGGCTTTTCGCAAGCCTAACACGGGGAAAGAATCTAGTCCTATTCATTACTCCGCAAATTATATTTCTCTGTTAATTTCCCAATAATCATCGTTTCATCGAGGGAATTACAGTGATTGAATATACTCGGGCGTCACTCTACACAATATTCAACGCGTTAAACATTCCTCCTCGGTTCATTAGTATACTCGACTACTTTCATTCCTTTACCATAAACCAATCAAATTAAACTACTCAAATCTACCCTACGCAATTCCTAGATAAGCTACAAGCGATAAAGATTTACACCTCTAAAACCGGTAGCTGAAACGTCACACCCCTTCGAAAGTGAACCGAAAAACTCCTCTCAGTATGTAATTCCCGAAGAAAAGCAGCCTGTCCATTCAACTGTATATCTCTATCTCGTGCCCGAGGAACGCGAGTACCAAGTGATTTCACCAAACAGACGAAAAAGCGAACGCGCGATAATGATTTACGCGAAACGGAGGGCCAGAAAAGCGCGGACACACTCGTCGACCAGTCCAATTAATTCTCAGCGCGGCGAACCCGGCCCCTTCCCGGTAATTTATGCGCGCCGGTTTTCACCTCATTCAGGAGCGCCGCCGTCCGCCCCTTTACCCCACCCATCGAATTATTCCGCCATTATCTAACGCACGGGGTGGGAAAGCTGTCGATAACGTCGCGCGCGGATCGGACACAGCGCAGCGTCTCGCGCGCCGGGTGCCCCGGGCACGGGACATTAATCCCGTCCAATAAATCTCCGGGCGATCGTCGGAAAAAGCGGCGAACGCGAGCGAGCGAGCGAGCGAGTGCGCCGTCGGGAATAGCACGCGCCGCTCGTAAATTCATTTCAAAGTTTTCGCGTGGCTTCCGCGAGGCGGTCGTGACCGGTTCTCAAAATATTTTCCGCGGCGAGCGAGCCGGTCCGATTTAGAAACGTTATTGCACCGCCACTTGCGGGTTTCGGGTCGAACATCGATCGGGAGAGTTGTACGATTCTGCGGTAGGACCCGTAACGAGATTAATAATTATCGGATGAGTACGGGAGAGATTTCCTTGATAAGAAAGTGATACAAGGGATTCGCGACGTTCTGACTTGGAACGTTTCGAACAAGGTTTTAGGGTGTTTGTTGCTGTTTGAAGATTTAGATGTTTGTCTAGGTAGTTATGAGATAGGTTGCGATAGGACGTTGGTCTCGGTTAGTAACTGAAATGATTTATTGGGAATTTTTTTGCAGAAGTTAGAGGAATATGATTTTTGAACTTTTATTGTCGTATCTGTACAAACACATAAATTTCTTGTTCTATTTGTTAGAAATATATTCTTAGAAGCTTTATGATTGCGGAATAGAAACTTCAGATGGGTTGTTTTGAGTAATGATGAGTGATGCTAGTCTTGAAGAAGCTTAATAATGAATTTTCGTTGGATTAATATGTCCGCCACCCTTTGATCTTCATTTGTTTCGCGGGAGTTTCACAGGATTTTCGTGTTGCCTTTGGTTCCAGCTCAAAATAACGCGGACCGCGTAGTGAACATAATTTTAAACTGCAAGACAAAGCAGAATTATGATCCGCTTGTTGAACAGAGAGTTTTATTAATAAAAAAATAGGTGACGGTGGTTCGGAAGGAGAGGCGAAGGATTGATGCAGGTGTAGAAGTAAAGAAGATGGATTGCCTGAAAAGTGTGCCAGAAGTATTTCGACGCGAGTCCGGCGGCCTGACAATAATGCCACACGTGTCTAGCTGATGCTGACTATATTCGTTAGTCTACAGGGTGTACTGTAATTAAGTAATCATCGCAACAAACTTCGGTTTCTCGATTGTTATTCCTTCGAAAACGCAATATTCTCACTTCGTTGAAGTTCTACAGATGCAATTTGGACGATCAACTCTTTAAACACTTAATCAAATCACTAATTACTAATTACGTTACAATATTAACTAATCACATTACTTAAACGACTAAATAATACAACGATTACTGTATCGTTTCGTCTAATTGAACTGGACTTTCATAATTCGAGGAAGACAGGCGAAAAATCAACGCAATGCCTGTATCGACTCTCGACGCGAATGTTGCGCAGACCTCTGGCCCCGAACTGTAAAAGAAACAATCTGAATCGATAGAGTTTACGCGATCCCCGCCGATTTCCAGGCACTCCGCGCTATGTTTAGAAACGCGGCGCGGCGTTTCGTTAGACACGGAGTCTGACCAGCGCCGCACACCTTGGCAACTATTTTAATGAACCGAAAACAAACCCACGAATTAATCAGCCCGTACTCAACACGTCGGGACGGAAGTTTTCTATTTTAAGTGCCGCCCCGATATCTATCGCGCGTCCTCTTGTCATTAGTCACGGGCATAACTACTCACGATCGGTTACTTTGGAACGTTTACCTTTGAATCGTTGACCTCTTGTCGCTCTCTATAGATTAAGACCGATTTTCTGTTAATCGAACCGTGGATTTTTCGACTGGATCATTGAGCTGATTACATGCTTTACTATAATAATAATCAACGCATTATTGCACTGCGTAATCGATTGCATTATTATAATTCCCAGAAACAAAGAAAATGTGATAAAATTATAATATTTCAATTGCGTAAATATAATTTTACTTGTAACAATGCAAAATGTCTAGGGATAGAGTTAATTTAGAACGAACGAAGTTACCGGAAATTGCGAATTAAGTTAGGCTAGTCGTTTACGATCGGTCGTTTATTAATAACATTTTTATGAAGGAGTTCCAGTTTAACCCGACGAAGTGTCTCGGTACGACCTGCAATCTGGACCACCGAGCGGCAAGAGGTCCGCGTCCAATTCGGTGAGTTAGCGCCATTAAATCTCTCATTAATCACGGCCCCGCCGCGCGACGGAGAGGGTGGTTCGCGACGTTTCCTCGAAGTAATGAGAACCGATGGCCGGGCATCGTCCAGCCACGCGTCGAACGACGAGTCCATTTTCGTCGACAACGCGTGACGAACGGGCCCGGGCGCGGTTCTCTCGGTTTAATCTGGCCGGCGTTGCTGCCCGGCGCGGTTTCTCGCGTTAATTTCCTTAAACGCACCGTGAACCAGGTCCATCGCGAATTATGGATCACTTAGGAGCGAGCATGGAAATTATCCCTTTGCACTCGAAGGTTTTTCACTAGAAATATCCAACGTTCTTCGTACAGACGATATTGTTTGAAACTGGTTTAACGATAATTTACAGATAAATTAAGCAACTAAGCTTTTTATTTCAATTTTTCACATAGCAATACAAAGTTTCATTCAGAATACTAAATATTCAACTTCAGTTTCATAGGTTATTCAGCTGATCTACGTGATCGTGATAGGTATTTTTAATGTTGGAGATTTTATGGAGATATCAAATGGTTGGTTCTGTGATGAATATGTCGGATTTCGGATATAGTACTAGGTACTTTGGTAGAATTGAAATATAAGATGATTCGTAATGGATTGACGGAAGTTTAAGTCATTCCACTTGATTTTTTGGAGAAAACACATTAACCCTTTTGAATACTGATATAACGACAGCTTCGGTATCTCTAAAGGCAAATAAGTAATTTAATTATATAAATGAGAGATTGATAATTTAGTTTGAGAGATGGAACATAATTTAGTTTCTTACGAGTTTGCAGAAGTTTAAATAATTCTCTTCGAAGATTTGAAGATTGCCATTTTCTGAGGATTGTCTAGTGATCAATTAGGGATTTAGAGTGGAAATTGGGTAAAACTAATCTTGATACGCTTTTGGAGTAACAATACTTGGTATGTAGTGCTTGGAACACTAATTAACGTGACTCTACTTTAACAGTTGCCTTTTATCAAGGGCTGAGAAAATAGTCCTTAAAGTTACGCGTTTCAGAAGGCACTGGGCAGATTCGCGAGAAGAGAAATTGTAATTCAGAAGCAGGAAAGACGCGTTCGAAGGATAGCTCCGTGGAAATAGCGTTCAGGGACACCGCGGCGGGCCGGGCCGAGTATCCAACCGCGTAAACAACCCTCCAAAAATATTCGGGACTTCTGCAAGCAACTCTTTCATCTCGCGCAAACATCAACAGCACCGAGGAACGAATTGCTTCCTTGAGCCGAGTTCTGCTGTCCCTTTTTTTGCATAAACAGTTATTTTTAACAATCGCACGCTGCGAGTAATATTCGCGAAAAAGTTTCCCTTTGGAGCGAGACAACGCATATTTCATTTCTCACTTGACTAGGTTCAGAAATAATTAACATTAAATCTTCCTTTAAATGAAAAATAACTGGAGAGTACTTGGCTCGAATGTAAACCAGTAAATTACTAAGACAAAAATGATATTCATCGTTTATATCGCGGATAACCTATGCTTCTCTTCACTATTTTTATTTTATTTATGTCTGCTTAGATGTCTGTTTCTTTAAGTTTCTTTTCATCCTGTCGTCGAATAAATTAATTCGCTTTATCGTTCCTTGTACTCGAGAGATCACAGAGCGATTAATTATTCGGGCCGTGTCCTATTTTTCAGCCTGACTTCGTCGGCAAAGGGGGTGCGCGAAGGGTTAACAGAATTCGACGGAGATACCCGATATCCCGCGCGGTCAGATCGTATCTTGGATTCTTAATCCGGCTAGGATCTGATCCAGAGGAGGCTGTTTTTCGCGTTCGGCCGATATATTAATCCTTACGAACCGGGAACTCGATACTCTGGAACCCTTTCACTGTTTTTTCCGTGCCGGGACAAGCGGAGACCAGTCGTCGGCCGACATCGTGACGAAATAATTTTCTTGGCTTCGAATTCGAGAGGATTAACAGCATCGGATGCGTATCGTTTAGCAATACCTGTTGGATTACGAGGCTCGTATCGATTGTGCAAAGAGGGAACTCGATAACAGGATCAAGAAGGGAACAATTGCAAAATGATGATGTTATTTTCTTAAGTCGCTGCGAATTAAGGTTTCTTATTCGCTGATAGAGTTTATCTATGTACACATTTATAAATCAATTCCCTTGGTAATAATAAATAATGAACATGTCGCAGTCGACGCGTTAACGTCGAGATGAATAGGGTTTTCTCGCGAAGAAACGTGTTCTTTCAGTTAAGTCATCGTATGGAAAGATCTCCTTTGTTTCTCTGATTAGTCACTTGTCGATGATAAGAACAATGAACTTTCCTCCGTCGTTGTTTTCCGTTTCGATCAAGATCGACGAGCTAATCCTCCTGACGAAACGATCGTCTGCGACTGCGACTCGAATGATATATTACATTGAATTGCGACGGGCTTAGCAGAGATTAGCGCATCGTTCTTTTGTTGAATAATTCTCGAATTCGCTGGTCACCGATCATGAATCATCGTCAACCGTCAACAAACAACAGACGTCCGATAAGCGATAAGGCCGAGTCTGAAACCCAATTTCTCCACGAAAGTCAAAGAACAACACCGAGATATCTCGTAGTCTCTTTTTCGAAGTCACAATACCGATCTTCCTCGCGCAACTCTTGCTTCGGTGATCTCCTAGAAACTATCCACCTAATAACTTCTAGGCTGCATTTAATTTAGGGGGTGCATTCATCACTTCGGACTAGGCTCCAACAGCCAAAGATAGATACCTCTGAAACACGTGGTGCTCAAAGTTAGACCAGCCTGGACTCTGCCAGCCAGAGGAAGACGTCATTAGAGTACCCATTGTAACTCAACCTGGACTAGGCTCTAGCAGCCAGAAACAGAAGCTTCCGAGAACGTGTACCCTAAGGTGGACGGCATTAACCGGAGACAAAGAGATCATTAAACTGTCCACCTAACTCAACCTGTACCAGGCTTCGGTAGCCAGAAACAGAACTTCACAGAACATACTTCACTCGAAACTAGACTCCATTAACCGCACAGAGACATCACCCAGCTATGCAACCTGCGCCGGGTTCTGCCGTCTAGAAACAGTGTCTTCTGGGAACGCATACTTCACTGTACGCCGGGCTCTGGTCCGCCAGATATAGGGACCACGGAAATATACGTAGGCTAGGACCACGCCAGACTCCGGTAATCAAACCGATAAAGACCTCTGATGATGGTCTTCAGCCTGGACTAAGCTTTAACAGCGATGAAGGGACTCGGACAGCCATCAGTTCCGAATAGAGACATCTAAAGCGCTGTATCGTCCCGAAGACGCGTCGGACGTTCTAATTAAGATTCCATCGGGGCTCCGGTACGCTTCGTTGTTTGATATAAAAACAAATGCGCCGGATTGAAAAAACCCGGCGAGGGAGAGGACTGACAGATAGAAACGTTCAGTGGTTTGACACCGGTTCGAACGTTCACTTTCTCCTTCTCTCCTCAGCTCTTTTTGCTTCTCTTATTGTCTTTAACTCTCGTTCATTCTCCTCCCCTGTTCAGCTTTCTTTCTCTCTTTATCGCTACAGCTCCGTTGCTCTCTTCTCGTAGCTATCTTTCACTGCTTTGCCTCTGATCTTCTTTCTCTCGCTCTCTCCAGCTAATCCACTCTTCCTCTGTTCAACCGTCTTTAGCTCTGGTCTGCTCTCTTTCTTCCGCTGTCTCTGGAGATAATCCACTCTCTCTCGTTCACTGTCTCAAACTCCAATTCACTCTCCTTATTTCACTGTCTCTAGCTCCAATCTACTCTTCTTCTCTGTTTCGCTGGTTTAGCTCTGATCTACCGTCTTCCTTTCACCGTCTCTAGCTCCAGTCCGCTCTCCTCCTCTCTTCCACTGTCTACAGCTCTGATCTATTCACTTTCCCCCCCTTTCCTCCTCTCGTCGCCTCTTTCTCTCATTTCGTTCTTCGTCTTCCTCTCTTTCGCCTCTGTCTCCAATACGGTCAGGTACAAAACGAGCATCAGGCGAGCGTCCCGTCACCCTCCGATCCCCGAGCCGCATAATTATACCCTTAAAAAGGATGATCCCTTCGGGTAGATTAAGGGACACCGCTTAAGACCGGCTGCTATCTTAATGAGCGCACGGAGGAAGCTCCGGCTCGGCCGGCCGTGCAGCCACCGATGCCAGACAATCGTAATTAAGCGTCAAGCGCGCGGGGTCAAGTGTCTCCGGACCCTTTCGCGTATTACTGGAAGCGAGAGGATCGCGGGACGCGAATTCCCTTCGGGATTGCTTCTTCGGGCTCGCCCGATATTATCGGATTTCGACTGGGAAAGCCTGCGAAGTGAGAACACCGCGTGGACTTTGGATTTATTCAGAGTAAATTGGGAGGCTTCGGTGCTTGAATAAAGATGTACTTTCAATAATTAGAGAACAAATGGCTTTTTTGGTATTGTAATTGAGTCAGTGAGCTGAGGTGCAAGTTTTAAATCAAGACCTTTGCTATCTAAGCAAAGATATCCAGATATCTAATCTGGATAAGAGACTTAACGGATGAAAATTAGGATGAAAGGTAGCTAAGTTTGCTGGAACGTTTAGATTCTAGACAGAAGCTTTACGTATAATGTCCGTTAGATACTTATAGCTTTTAAGTAAAATTGTAAAACAAATGAAAGATTGATAACGGAATCATTCAGTTGACGATTGTAAAGCTAGGGACTGCAGAATCGACCGTGCAGAACTCGCTTTCCGGCAAACAGCGATTCAGCGGCAACCGCCACAGAAATGCCACTGTCTCGACGTTGTATAATAAATATTTATATACATGTATATTATATATATATATATCTATATATCTATATACATATACCGTATGTGTATATTATTATGATTGAGCTCAATTGTCCAATTGCCCGGTCATTGAATGCCATATGTACAGCCGGGCTCGCCCGTTATTAGCGAACCGCCGATGATATTCTCAACCGGGTCGACCGCGTTTCCACGGGCCCCGGGGCCGTGTGCCCGTGATCACACGGTGAAATGAGAGCCTCTGCCAATCTTTTGTCTATTAAATGTATTCAACAGGGTAATAGCGGCTGATATTACCAATTGGACAATGAAAGAGATGGCAGCGGAGCGCGATTTCCAACCCCCGCCTCCCCAACGGTCCCCTACTCCTTCCACGCTCGCAGACACACTAAAAGATTTCGTTAGGAGGCGATGATCTTGCGGCTCATGAACCGGCATTGTCCGCGTTTCTCTCGATTCTGAATATCAAACCGGTTTCTAACTGAAATTAAACTTACACTCAAGCATCTAAACGATAAACTGAGATTAATAAGAGAAATTGACTCGGGATGATCTCGAAGGAATTTGAAGCTTTATCTTTGGGAATTGTAGTTAAATCAGCTCTTTGAATTTCGATTAAATTATCGAAGTGTTATACGATAATAAAAAATGTTCTATTCGATTAATATTCTGCTAGAATCTCCAAAGAGTCAAGCCTCTAGGCGTACACTTATAAAGGAAGCTCGAAGAATATTTCGAGCATTTCCTAGAGGAACGACGACTGGTACTATGTATTTCCCCCAATTCTTGATAATGGTCCCTTTGAGCGTTCTGCAGGTCCTATAGAAAACGTGGACAATAGGCGAAAAGGAGCGCGTGCAACGGCCGGTGATTTATTGCCTTTTAGGGAGTGTAAAATGGCGGCGAGTCCCAGGGCAGGTAGCTTCGCACAATGGCACCGGGTTCCCGTGCGTACTCGCTGCTTCACCTACATAAACGCCGGCCGGCCGGCCGCGCACGTGTGCAATTGCCGGAAATTCCGAAAGGAGCGTTTCCAGGCTTCCAGCTAAATACCGTTTAGAGAAAGCGTTTTAAATACTGTGCACCGACGAATCTGTGCACCAGATGTTCTCCGCCGCCGGTTCAACTAACGAAATTCGACTTCGACCGTTTTCTTTCCCAGAAAAACGGTATTTCCATTGTGCGACTTAATGGCGGACCCTAATAGAAAATGGTAATGGCTGGTGGACGGTGGGCGGCGGAAGTTTTACCGATGTTTGATGGGCTCTATTCAGTTCGTCGGTAATAGCGATTGTATAGGCCGGTTTTCCATTCGATTTTAATAGGATTTTGAATATTTTTGTGGTTTGCGTGAAAGATTATTTGTTTGTAGACGAAATCGATGTGTTGAAGGATTTATCTTTCTTATGGAAATTCGGTTTTTATGTTATATTTTATGATTTATATTAGGAAATATAAATTATTCTAATTGTATCTTACAATTTGTGATGCCAAGATAATTTTGAAATCAGTTTCGAGCCAGTTTTTACTGGAATAGTTCTTATCTCGTTTAAGAAATGGAAAAGTCCCCCAAATCCTCGTGATACTAATTCGGAATCAGTATTTCGAGTATAATTAAAATTTGAGTCACTAGCAATCAAAGCATTCGCGGAAGCTTATTGATTGCGAGTCATTCTGCTTGTTATTAATCAGATGCAGGTGATAACAGCGTCGAAAATGTTTACAAGCGAGATTCATCTGTCGATTGATGATCGTTTCTTATTAACGTCGGACACTCGTGATGAATTGTTCGAATTTGAAGAAAAGTCGCTTAATCTTTCATGATCTCTGAAAAATCGCTGATACGCGGATACAAACATCTTATATCAAATTTCAGCGAAATGAATCATTCGTACATCCGTTCGAGGAACGATATTCGCGATTCAATCATCTGTCTGGATCGTTTCGTCGTTTCCAAAGATCAACCCCCGAATCTGTACACGAAATTCTCATCGGGCCGGCCCGGAAGGACTCTTTTATTTCTGTCTGGCTTCTGTCCTTTGTACACGCTTTTAAAAATACTCGATTCTGCCGGGCGAACCGCGCGTCTACCGATTAGAGGCGTGTCGGACATTTGCGAGCTTCGAAGAATCCTCTTGTTGCGTGTTCTATTTTCCAAAACGTTCGCTGATCGAATTTCTATTCTCAAAAGCTGACAAGAATTCGAATTTTTCCCTACACGATTCTTCGAAGCTCTCGTTAATACATAATTAATCAATGAACCCTTCTTTCCTGCTAACAATCATTACGAGATTTCTATACAAATTCCAATTTACATTGAAACATCGATAAACAGAGATATCAAGTAGCAATTTCTTATTTTATCGAGTCCTCCATCTAATCAAATATAAAATAATAAATTCCTCAAACTTGTTTACCTTTCCCTTATTTAGGAGAGCTCGCCTCTTCCCTTTAAACGCGAGATTTTATAAGTACAGCGTAGTTCTAACTGAAAAATTCTCTTCCGACTCGTTCATTGAAATGGTCGCCGCGTTTAGAGACCAAAATGGCGATCGCTGGGTCACAAGAACACGAACGCGGCTCGATTAGATTGTAACGGCGTCGTCGAGAGAAATTACGTGACTGGAAAAGGGCCAAGATTCGCGGTAAAGGTGGTGATGGGGCCCGGTTTTATGGGGGCCCGATCGTGGATTTCTCGAAATTCCAGCGCGTAGCGCGAAACGCGTTCCCCGTTGTCTTTTCACACGCGTTCCAACGATCGGAAAGCCCGACGACAGAGAAACGAGCCGAGGAAACGATCCCGCCGAAAGAAACGCCACGAGACATTTTTCGACTCGCTTCGCTTCTTTCGTGGTTTTTAAAAGAACTCGGTGTCCGAGGGAGTTCGTTGACTCAGCGGTTGTATCGGAGAGATACATCTTTTATTTCGATGGAAAGTATTTTTAAGACATCTCAGAAATGTCCAACTTGCTACAATTTCCCCTGTATTTTCTTAGATACTGTGAATTTCACGTTTCTTCCTTCTTTTATAATATTTCATTGAAGTCATACGATAGACTACATAGTAATAGATAGCTTTTTTGAAAAGTAATTCAAGAAACCTCGAAACATAGTTGCAAAGGAATTTTAATCTAAATTAAAGAAATCGGCATTCCTATAATAAATCTCTCTCAGAGAACACCGAATAACAGAGTTTTCCTTCAAGAATATAAAATAATTCCTCCCCATCTTTCATCCGTTCCCTTTCATCTCCGAAAAGGGAAGTTATAAATTATTCCGGGTGATTGATCTTGAAATGAATATTTTATTCTATGCAAATCGTATTTTTGGATATTATACACCGGAAACAGATACTGTAGGATACACTACTTCCTTACGATCGGAACGTCTCTCGTTCTCCTTTTTAACCCTTTCCGCCACCCTCCGGGATATTTTTTTTCCACGTTCCATCCATTCCGCGCTCGTAACTTTCTCTTTCGCGCGATCGCCTGCAAAAATATCGCGGAGCTTTCTTTTACGATTCTATGCACCGAACCACGTGTCTCGTCGCGACATCCCCCTTTCGCTTTCTTCCTGCCTCTCCTCCACCCTTCCCCATGTTCGCTTCATTTTTCTCCTTTTCCTTCCTCGTCTTTCGTTTCACCCTTTTCTATCTTCTCTCTCCGTCTGTTCACTTACCCTTGTCTCTCTCTGTCTTCCTTCTACTACCTTATCACTTACTATTCTATATTTTTCTATTTCGATCATTTCCACTTAGCTACATCCTTCACATTCACATCGACGAAAACGAAACAAAAGAATTTCGTGATTTGTTCGTCTCGTTACTTATCTTTGTATCTACTTATTTATCATCTTCTTCCTCGTTTTCCTTTTTCTGTTAATTTACCACTGCATACTATTTCCACGTTCAAAAGGAAGCAGTCGCTGTGACTTTTTTACTTGAACTATATTTTTAAGAGCCTCCGGGTGCTCTATTTTTAATTTCCTTTGCTCGCTTTAATTACGTTGGTCGCGCTCGCATTAATTACGAGTGCAAACGATCGCGGCGTAAAAACGTGATCGCCTACCTAGTCGAACCAGTTGTCCCTGAGTGGCCCCATCGATCTCCAGGATCAGGAGCATCCCTATGATGAGACACTTTGCGATCGCCATCCCGACTTCTTCCACGACAGGTACCGGGTAGCTAGTGGCGCGGCATTTGTGACTCTCTGGAAACAGAAGGAGCGATTCGTTTAACTCGTGTACGCCGAGGAGATGGGATATCTCCGCCGCTACCGGAAAAAGGAACGTGTTTGTTGAAAGACAGGGTTGAAGGGATAAATAATGTCTCCACCTTGTGGAAATTGTGTTTTAACTAGGATACTTGATCCTTCACTTCCTCCGACGGTTTTTATCATTTAAACATCTATGCTTCTTCGCCTTATTCTTCTGGAATGTTAAACTAACGTATACGAAAGTTGTAAATAAATATTTTAGAGAATAGTACGATTGTGCTGATAATAGGTATTTTAGTAATTTCGTTCATTCTGACGATAGTTGTTTCCAAACATTCACCATTCAAATTACAACCCACAATTCTCCTATATTCATATCAATTCAGAAATATTCCTTCTGACTTAACCAACCAAACTACAATTTCCTAAAGCAAACACAATCCTCCTCAACCCCCTAGGAAATACACAGAAGGAATGAAAAATATTCTCTCGTTAACTCGTCGAAGTCCATTTCTCCCAGATTGCAGAAATTCTGCAATAAACATTCTCTCAAACAATCTTCAAAAATGAAGAGTCTAGTAATATGTTCCTATTCGATAGGTGAGCGTAGAGCTCAAGGGGATGCACGAAGCACACGGTGTACCGTTACGACGCCGTGTATTTACAAGTGATCTATGGGGGTCGAGTGCATCGCAAGGATGCACCGGACGTGTTCTGGTGCGACGAAATCGGGCCTGGTTTTCGAGAGACGCGGCGACCATGTGTTCCTCTCCTGAGGGACACGGTCTACTATTCTTTACGGGGACACACGGCGCGGCTCGATAGTACACCATAAAGTATTCTGTCAGCCGTGGGCTGGCTCGTTCGGCGACCGATTTATGACAATTCGCGACGATGGGCGAAAGAGGAACGCCCGCGATTCCGATGTTGCTTTATAGGACCCCTTATAAACTGGTCCCATTGGTTACTTTTAAACGCCTCTGTTTACGAAGATCCTGGCTGGCCGTGGATCCATAAATCCTCGATGGAATTAATATTACTTTCGAACAGGTAGCTTCGTTAAAAAAATTCCTGCTCATTACAAAGTATTTTTCGAACTTAGAGGTTTCTTTCTCATAATGACTTCATTCGTAGTACTTAGGCAATTTTTTAATCGAATTGAGAATTTTGTCATTTGGAGAAAAATAATTTTGTAGTCTAGAATTTCGTGAAACTTCAGTTTCAATGTTTACATTTTAGATTCATTAACCTTTCCAAGTTTCTCGGATGCTTTGGAACCCCTCGAACATAGAATCTTCATTTTAATGTATATTAAGCAACTTGAAACATAAACGAATATACTTAATTATTTTTAACTCCCGGAACAATTATAATAGGCCGTGTTCTTATAATCATTTCCGATATTATTCATTCTTCGTAACCGCCTCGCTGAAAGCGTGTTAACTAGCTCGTTCAGGAGTAAGTCGCGGTTCAGCTCATTAGCAGAAATCGAAATAAAAGGTCTCGGTGCTCGTTAGGTAGCGTAAAAACAATTGCAAACAGCTCGCCGGGGAACTTATCTGCATTATCAGTAATGCTCAGAGCCGAACCGGTCCACTTTATCTCGATCCCACCTGATTGAAAATTATTGTGCACTTCAAATATGAAGATCGCGTCCGGGCTAATACAGTTCTCGACACGAGGCCGTAAAGATCGAATTAACGAGGCCCGGAAGCGTGCGTTACCGCCGTTTCCCACTGGAACGAGGCACCGAATGAAATACCATCGGCGACTATTCGCGTTTCTGTCCCATAAATCCCGTGGAACGCATCGTCTCGAAAACGTTGAATGGAATTCAACGTTCTTACGGGACCGTGAAACTTCTATGTCCTATTGTTTCTTCGGCTTTACGCCGCGGAGACTTTTGATTGCGATATACGAGTGCTCCGGTCCTTTTACTCGCTGAATTTACATCGAATAAACTGTTCAAACATCTTTCTTTGTTTTCAGTTTATTTCCCTCGGTAACATATCTAATTCTCGCTTGGTTACACTCCATCTGTTCCTTCGTTTCTCGCTTGTTTCTTTTTAATTGCGAATATAATTCCGGAGAATTCGATACTTCGTTTCTCATTTATTTGCTCGAAAATACAGAGACATTCCAAGCAAAGAAACATAACATTGCACGACAGTAACTATGAACAAAATTCAAAAGGCGAATAATCGATAATATCCCATCAAACCCTAGAGAATCACCGTGAACATCACCTTAAAATAAATTCAAATAACAATACTGTCTCCCAAATTCCACCGAAACCGAGAAATGGTAACTCATAAAAATCCAGGCGCCACACAATCGAACCCTCCGCCATAAAAGCCATCAGGGACCCAATAGAAAATCCCCGAACACAGTTTCGATCTTCCGGAAAACCGATTTCACGCGCATTTCCCAGGGTTCGCGATTAGCCGCGCTATCGGCGGCCTCCAATTAACGGAAGACAATGAAGCTAATGCTATTTCCTTGTAAACGATACCGCTGGCGCGCGCCATATTGGTCCCAGAAACGAGGAAACGCAGGGGAGTACCCGCGCATCCACCCTCCTCGGCCGTAAAACGCGGCGAGCGACGTTTTAAGGGTGATTTACACGCTTTCGACCGGAGAAAGCCCCTTTCCGTGGATCGTGGGGCCGTTTTCATCGCGTTGGTCCCTTATTGTTCGATATCTCGGAGGATCTGCCCGGCACCCGTACACCCGTGCCTCGGACAAATTGAATGAAATCGCTGGAACCTGTTCTACCCCTCGACCACCCGTAATTATGGTGACGTAGGTCGGGAGAATTTGGTGGCGTTCCAGGCTGTAATTTGAAGGTCGACGCGCACCGCCGACAAAGTGACGGTCCCCGGTGTTTTATTAACCCGCGCGAGGAAATTAATTACCCGGATGGCTCGTCGGTTACCGACACCACTTTTAAATCATCCTGTTGGTAAATAACGTTTTGCCGTGGAAATTGTGTTGCGAGTTGATTGCTCGGCCATCATTCTTCCCTTTGGGGAGGTTTGTTTGGCCGGCGTGCGTTAAGTCGCCGGTAATTGTACCGTGTCCCGGGGTAAGTTGTGGGCAGTGTTCTCGGAGGAACGGAGAATATTTGGAGAGTAATTTAACGAAGTTACATTGGATTTTTATTAATGACGTTGCATGTGAATGTGCATTTTTGTGGGCTGGTAGGAAGAGTTGTTACCGTAGGTACAATTGGAAATTGATTGTTATATGTCGACATAGTTTTCTATCTTTCGTTGCAATTTGCGATGGTAGCAATTTTTTGATCACGTTCTATATAGAAATGGCAAGCTCATCATGTTATGTAACAGCAATCTGATCGCGTTGCGTAACATGAAAGCACTTCGTTCATTAGCAATTTCTAATCGTATTACAAAACCGAAACAGCAACCTTTTCAACACAACTATGCAAGCAAAGCAACTTTCTTAATTCTGTTACCCTACGGAAGTAGCAATCTTTAATTCCATTGTATACTGACAATAGCAATTTTTTCTATTATAATTAACTATCAATCTTTGATTGCATTACATAGTGCCAACGGCAACATCTTGATCTTGTTCCATACAAAATCACCAATATTTCCTGCCACAGCATAATGAAAGCAGCAACATTCCTCAGGATATTGCCTTACAGAACTAACAATCTTTAATTCCGTACAGACTGACAATTTCGATGCTCGTTCCGAACGTATCGCTCGTCGTGCATGTTTCCCGAGCTCGGAAACAAGAGAAAAAAGGGCGAAAAGAAGAAAACGTCGATATCCAGCCGCGTTTCTGGCCGGCGGCCAGGCCCGAAAACGCGTCCGTCCGAAACAGGGAACGGCCTCGGACGTGCCAAATTGAAACACGGCCCTGAATGCACGTCGCCGCGGCCGTTCACGCACGTGCTGCGCAAGAAGGCGAGCCGCGGCGGCATAATACGCGGCGCGGGATGGGCGTCGTCGTAAATTTTTATAGACCAGGGGCGTGTCGATCGATCGTACATCATTCCCCGCTGGTCCGAGCGGCGTTGTAAAATAAGTTGTTACACATTCACCGCGAAATTGTTTCGAAGAGAGCAACAGGCGCGCACGTACGCACGCACGCGCGCGCGCGCGCGCTCGCGCCGTTTATTTTCTGACGAGGGAAATTACGCGGCTCAACCTTGTGTCCGAAGAGTACGCGCACACAGTGTATGTAGCGAAAGAAATTAATTAGCCAGCCGGCTGCGTATCCCCGCCGAACAAAAAGACAGTTTCGATTTATGAACGACGCATAAATAATGCGTTATTAATGTAACGAACGTGCTACGCACCGCGGAACGAGTTTCTGTTTTGCCCCGGCGAGCGGAATCGATCGGTTAACCGGTTCAAATTTTCCTACGGTACGTCTAAATAGACGTAAAGTCGATTAGCCGGCGATCGGGGCGGTTTAATTGAATTATGGACTCCGTTTCCGTCGTTGTTTCCGTTCGCGAAGTTGCCCGCAACGGGAGTTTCGGAGTTTAACGGTCGATCGAATTCATCGTTGAATTGAATATCGGTAATTGGAGGATGGAAGTTTGAAATTTCGGCTGCGAGGAAGAGATATAGATGTCGGAACATCATCTGTTTCACTGTGTTGGGATGTTACAAGCTCTCATCATAAATTCATCCGACTACAAATGATGGTGTCGGGCCGCATCAAATCCGAGATTTATTTTTTCGACGCGTCGTTTCGACCCTTTTCAAAAATCCCTCGCCGAGGAATGATCTTTGTTTTTCTTGAGACGCCTTAACGACCCGGAGACTTAAGAAAACACACGGTAATTCGAGGGAGGGGAGAATTATGGATATCCGCAGGCAACGATTAATATTCCCTCCAAGGGGTGGAAAATTCTCAGGGAATTTCTCAGGGTGGGTCACCTGTTCAAGGGGAGTCTCTGCGAAGCAGGGGGAGAAGCTTGTAGTCCGCGTCTGGTTTCCCTCGTTTCCCTTTTT